ACTCAAAACCACATAAAATCGTATTATATCAATAGAGAAAGAATAAAAACCAAAAATTAAAATGAAGATTTATCTTGCTACATTACGCGAATATCCTTTTAGTATTTTATTATATGAATGATAAATGCATTTTAATTGTTTTCACCAAAATAAAAGTCTTTAATTGGAGAAAAGATGTTAGAAATTATCATTACAACATTTTCAATAGATTTTGTAAAAAAACAAATAAAATGGAGAATCAAAATTAAAGTATTTTTAAACGGATGGCATTAAACTTCAATAGGTTTTTTATTTTAGATATTACAATATTAATTATAATATTAAAATATTTCATTGATTTAATAAAATATTATTTTATCCGTCCCAAATAAATATCCACAATGAAAAAAGACACACAGTTCATTTAAAAATATCTCTAACAGATTTTTCAAAATAAAAAATATTGAAGCTTTATTTTTTATATTATTATCCAAAATAAAATTAAAAAAACAGAAAAAATACATAGGTTAGAAAATTCCCTGAAATTTAATGGGATGTGAGAGAATTGATTTTTTTTTTTTTTCATTTCCATCAATAAGATTAATCTGTTATTAGTTTATATAAAGTTTTTTTAGAAGGTGAATTGGGATGATAAAACTACAAATATATTAATAATCTATACTATAAAAATTTGACAAAAACCCTTAAAAACCATTTTTTATGCATGAAATATTGTTTATTGATGCATATTACTTAGAATTTAAGATTACAAGTAAATTGTACGTAAGTACAACTTATTAAAGCTCCATGTTTTTAATTCGTATAACTAACGACATATAAAAATAATCAAATACATGATAAACATCTCATTTTAAATATAAAAAATCTAAAATATAATTAGATTAATCATTGAGTTCTAACAGAATCATATCTTTATAAAAATTATATTGTTAAGCCAAAAATAAATTGCTTCGCTATTAGACCTAAATTGAATTATAATTAAAAAAATTGAATTAAAGAAACTATACAAAAAAACGAGAACTTTTAAATAGTTAATTTAATATTAATATCAATATATTTTTTCCAACTTTTACAATATCTTTAAATTTATTTTTATTCAAAAGTAAAAATATTATTTTTCTCAAAACCACATAAACCGTATTATATCAACAGAGATAAA